AACCGACTGCGCCACCCAGGCGCCCCTTACCTTTTTTTTTTAACTTTAAAAATATGTTTGTTTGTTTATTTTGAGAGATAGAGTGGGGGAGAGGGGCAGAGAGAGAGAGGGAAAGAGAGAATTCCAAGCAGGCTCTGTACTGTCAGCGCTGAGCCCGATGTGGGTCTCGACCCCTCAAACTGTGAGATCCTGACCTGAGCTGAAATCACACATCAGACCCTTAAGCAACTACGCCACCCAGTCACTCCTTAATGTTTGCCTTTGTATTGTTAAATGTTCTTTTATCTCTATTACTTGATTTGTCAGTTTTAAACAATATCTTTTGACTTAAGTAGGGAAATGTGCAAAAGACACAATTCAAATTTTTACCTACAGTAGGAAACAAAAGCAGAGGGGCATTTGGAGGAACCATTAACTGACTGTTCAAGAAGGACATAAATTTGGCTACTTCAAAAAACTGCATAAAAGATATAGAAATGGAATGTTTTCTCCTATACCTTCAGAGATCACACTACTATGCCTTGGGGGTGGGGGGTAGAGTCTAAGAAGAGAACTAGGTAAATTGAGAGTTCTAATGTCTCTCCTTACCTAAACTTTTCCCTTTTTGCTAATTAGTTTCTGAAGAATAGTCAGTCAGCAAGAACAAAAAAGAATACACACCTCTCCCTCTTCTGACATTAGAGAACTCCTCATTTTCTCCACCCCGTCTCTCACGGTGTGGTGCTCCACTGTTACTTCGGCCATCTTCTCCTCCATGCTTTACTTCACCTTTTCCTTCAACTGCTACCACCTGCATATCCCCAATGTTGCCATTTCCCGGAGATCCTTGAACATCTTCAGGAAAACCAGGACTTTCCAAGGGCTGATTGGGATCACCACTCAAGTAATATCGAAATGGTCTGCCGTTTGACGTAAAGCTGTCTAAAGACTACAAATTTAAAACAACACTTAGTTAAAAGCTATAAACATAAGTTTTTGTGACAACAGAAGAATTACTGTTTTTATAAAACTTTTTTCATGTTATGATAGAAAATATTTTTCTAAAAAATGTATTCACCTTCTGCATCCTATATTTAGAAAAGAAATGGGATAGGAATGATTCATCCATGAATAAAGTATTGAGTAGTTCTGGCAATGAATTGTTCTCATGAGTCAGTCATTCATCCAAGAGACTTATAAAAATGTCTACTACTCTTGTTCTAGTTACTATGCTAAATTCTAAGGATAATATGAAGAAAGAAATAGCTTGGTAAAGGAGAGAAGTAAGATCATTACAGCATAGTTTGATAAGTAGTATGAAAAAGATGGATGAAGGGTGCTTGCTATAGGAACTCACAGGAGGGGTGCCTAACTCATATTGGGGCTCACTGGAGACTTCCTGGAAGAAATGATATGAATTAAAACTTACAGAATGAGTATAAGCCAAGTCAAAGGTGTAGTAGTGATGACAGCCTGTACCAATAAAGTAGTACTGGGACAGAGGCTGCTTTGAGAACTTCTGAGATTAGAGAATCAATAGGAGTTGAAGACTGAACGTGGGAAGTACGAGAAAGGAAAAGACCAGATGGTTTTGTGATACTCACCAAGATAAGAAATACAGAGGACAAAGGGGTCTCAAGGGAACAGAGACAATGGTATAGTTATAGAGAAGTATAAATTGAGGTTCCTAGGCAAGATGTTTAATAGGTCAGTTAGAATTCAGAAGAGAGATATAGGTTGGAGATAAGAAACATCAGTATATGAGTAATGGCTGAAACCAAGGGAGTAGTCATATTCCTGAAGAACACCAAATTAAGGAGTCAAAGAAGAAGAAAAAATTGAAATCAAGTTATTATGCCAAAGGGCATAATATATAAGAATGGTATATGGGGAGCCTAGGTGGCTCAGTCAGTTAAGCGGCCAACTCTTGGTTTCAGCTCAGGTGATGATCTTGCACATTTTGTGAGTTCAAGCCCCCCATTGGGCTCTGCGCTGACAGTGTGGGGCCTGCTTGGGATTCTCTCTCCTTCTCTCTCTCTCTCTCTCTCTGCCCCAACCCCGCCCCGCTCACTCAGTCTCTCTCAAAATGAATAAACTTAAAAAAAAAAAAAAAACAAACAGTATATATGGCAAATATTTCTAAGTTGTACATAGTTCATTGGATATTTAATAAAACATTTGTAATCATTAAAAAAAATCTTAGAAATCTAATCCACCTAGCAAAATTCCAGGTACACTGGTCTGTAATGGTCTACTGGTTGGCAATGATGTTGGAAGAATGTATACATGTATACAGAAAACATATTTCCTATTTCCAAATCTCTTTTCAGTTTCAGAACAGTACCTACAATCCATTATCTATTCCACTAAATGGTTATTCTAGAACCATTTCTATTTTTAGCTTCTACAAAGCAGTAACTGCTAATGATTGAATCTTTCAAAGTTTCAACCTTTTAGAAAGGGATCTATAAGCTACACAATTTATTTAAACTGGACTGAAAACAAAAACTGTAAAATAAAAAAGGTGACTTTCTTTTAAACAATTTGTTAAGTGAGATGAGGCCCTTGAAAGCATGAGGTCTTCTAACATGTTCAAAATTCAGTAAAACCAAAGAGATGCAATGGTTTCACACCATCAACCCTATGGAAAGGACAGAAACCAAGGTAATATAAATACAAGATAAAAACATTACTGTATGCAAAAAGCACCACACCCTTACGCCCGTCAGAAGGGCTAGTATCCAAATGACAAGAAATAACAAGTGCTGGTAAGGATATGAAATGAGAACCCTTGTGTACTGTTGGTAGGAATGTAAATTGATGCAGTCGCTCTGGAAAACAGTATAGAGCTTCTTCACATAATTAAAAATAGAAATACCATACACTCCAGTAATTCCACTATTGGGTACGTACCCAAAGAAAATGAACACACTAATTTGGAAAGATACATGCACGTCTATGTTTACTGCAGCATTATTTACAACAGCTAAGATAACAGAAGCAGCCCAAGGTGTTTATTGATAGATGAATGGAAAAAGAAAATATGGTATACATATACAATGGAACATCAACTCAGCCATGAAAAAGAATGAAATCTGGCCATTCTTGACAACATAAATGGACATAGAGGATATTAGGCTAAGTGAAATAAGTCAGACAGAGAAAGACAAATACCGTATTATTTCACTTACATGTGGAATCTAAAAAACAAACAAACAAAATCTAAACAAACTCTTAAATACAGAAAACAAACCAGTGGCTGCCAAAGCAGACGTGGATGGGGCGGGGTGGGTGGGGAGGATAGGTGAAATAAAGGGGATTAAGAGATACAAACTTCCATTCATAAAATAAGTAAGTGAAAAAGGTGGAAAGCACACAATAAGAAATATAGTCAATAATATTGCAATAGCATTGTATGGTGACTACACTTATCATGATGAGGACTGAGTAATGTACAGAATCACTGAATCAACATGTTGTATGCCTAAAACTAATATAACAGCATATGTCAATTATATTTCAAAACTTAAAAAAGAAGTCAGTGTGTAGAGCAGATTTGAAAATTATTCAATTTTCTTGTATGTCAACGTTTCAAACACAGGGTCTAGCATAAAGTTTACCTTCTGCCTCCCCATCTCACCTCCCTCAGGATATTTACAAATATAAATATAGTAACAAGTTAAAATAGTGAAATATTTTTGAACATTCAGGAATTTTATACATTTTTTAAATTCACAAAAATAATTCTACATACAAATGTTTATATATTTAAAAAAAATTTTAGAGGTATATCTTCAAAGCCATGAACAGTGTACGTACATCTGCTATTAACAGAAGCTATGCACTGTATTCTGACATATCACTTTGAAAATCTGCCAATTAAAAAGTGTCGGGGCACCTGGGTGGCTCAGTCAGTTAAGTGTTTGACTTCGGCTCAGGTCATGATCTCGCAGTTTGTGAGTTCGAGCCGTGTGTCAAGGCTCTGTGCTGACAGCCTGGAGCCTGGAGCCTGCTTCGGATACTGTGTCTCCCTCTCTCTCTGCCCCTCCCCTGCTCACGCTCTGTCTCTCTCTGTCTCTTAATAATAAATAAACGTTAAAAAAAAAATTTTTTTTTTAAAAAGTGTCATTTTGGGGCGCCTGGGTGGCGCAGTTGGTTAAGCGTCCGAATTCAACCAGGTCACGATCTCGCGGTCCGTGAGTTCGAGCCCCACGTCAGGCTCTGGGCTGATGGCTCAGAGCCTGGAGCCTGTTTCCGATTCTGTGTCTCCCTCTCTCTCTGCCCCTCCCCCGTTCATGCTCTGTCTCTCTCTGTCCCAAAAAAAATAAATAAACGTTGAAAAAAATAAATAAATAAAAAGTGTCATTTTTACCTCTTCTTGTCCAAACTGTTCCATGGAATCACAGTAGACCTCACTGTCTGAATCACTTGTCAAATGCTGAATTCCTGAAATATCTTCAACATGATCATCATTTATCTCTGAAAATGAACAAATGTCCAAGTGGGATTATTATTCTCTAACTGAAGAAAAATGCATTTATTCCACTCTCAAAGTTTATCAGCTCTATATTACTTTCACACTGGAGACAAATTTATCAAGCCACACTTTTTTCTTTTAACGTACCAAAACTTCCAACATAGTTGATAATTTTTATTTGACAAGATTGTATTTTATCAAGTAATCATACAAAGACACTGTCCAGATCAAACCTTATAAAACAATCTTGTAAGGGAAAACTGACTACCAACTAGGAGGCCTAAATTGGTATGCAACTATGCAAGTTCAGTTGTTACATTAAGTAATTATATTTCTTGTTTTCTTTATGTTTTTATTATTTATTTTTTGAGAGAGTGAGAGAGAGCAAGCTGGGAGGATATGGGGGGGGGAGAGAGAGAGAGAGAGAGAGAGAGAGGATCCCAAGCAGGCTCCACGCTATCCATACAGAGCTCAACGTGGGGCTCACACTTACAAACTGTTAAGATCATGACCTGAGCTGAAACCAAGAGTCAGATGTTTAACCGACTGAGCTGCCCAGGTGCCCCTCAAAATTTTATTTTAAAAAAACCATACAAAAACACAATTAAAAATGTCTCAATAAAAATATAAAAGCCCTGCCTCTAATTCACTATCTTTCAAAGCTATACACCCTTATAATATTAATAAACCCTAAGATATTATTGAATAAGAAGTTTTTAAATTCTAAATTGCTCCTAAATATCCTAAAACAATGAAAAGAACACTGCATTCATAGGAAAGAGGCTAGACAGATAATTATCCTGGGACAATACCTTGGTGAATGCAGACAGCAGTTTTTCCAGTTTGCTCCAAATTTTCATCTACAGCCTTTATTTCTTCAGCATTTTTCCCACTCAAGGAAGCACTGGCATGAATGTCATTCTGTATATCTTGAGTGGAGGTGTCTTTATCATAGCCATTAGTAACAATGATTTCCAAATTCTTATGATCTGCAGATTTCTTCATCATTTTCTTATCTTTTAAAAGAAAGTAGGGAGATTCGTAAAAGTTCACAGTAGGTCAAATTCTGTATATATATTCTAATATCAGTAATCATTTCCCCAACCTACCATAATCCCTTTGAATGGTTTCCTACTTGGATCAGAGAGATGGGATACTCCTTGAAAAGGGATTTATTATATGCTGAAAGCTCATTCAAAACTACTTCAATTCCCTGTGAATCTTCTAGAACCTATCTTATTTTATTTTTAAGTAGGCTCCACATCCAATGTAAGGCTCAAATTCATGACCCCAAGGTCAAAAGTCACATGCTCTACTGACTGAGCCAGCCAGGCATCCCTAGAATCGCCTTTAAAGATAACCTCTCAAGGTCTTTACACTCTCTCAAGCATAGGCAAATTGCCCTATGAGACCCAGAAGTACAAATGGGTCCACATAGTCAATGAAAAGATCCTTTGAAGAAGGTATTATCTGTCATACCCTATTGGAAAGTAAAGGCAAAAGTAAGCCATACGGTTTGTTTTAGTGTCTGTCTGCCTCCCCTTTCTAAACCAATCTTCCCAGGAATCACTGGTACTCTTACTACCAGTGGGGCCCCCCACCCACAATGCAGTAGCCTATTACTCCAATGTTCTCTCTCCATCAAAACTTCCTATATCCAATTCTCCATTCTATTCTTGACAAGGTATTGAGAGTTTAAACATTTCTCCTCTTCTTGGTAAGCCACATATGCATATTTATATTGGCAACAATACCTAAAATGAATACATTTCTTCTTTTTGTTTCTTTAAGTAAACTATGCCAAACATGGGGCTCCAACTCACAACCCCAAGATCAACAGCTGCATGATATACTGACTAAGCCAGCCCGGCACCCTATAAAATGAATACATTTCTAATGCAGCATTTCAGGCATTACATTTAGAGGAGTGGTCCATTCTTGTTAGTGTTCAATTCTATATATGCACTTTTGGTCCACAGAAATATGGTGATAAGGTCAACAGCCCACATCCCACCATACACACTATTCTCATACAACACCAAATCAGTCCCAACTTCTCCATATTCTTTCATCTATTTTTTAAAGATTTTATTCTTAAGTAATCTTTACATCCAACGTGGGGCTAAAACTCAACCCTGAGATCAAGAGTCATGTGCTCTATTGACTGAGACAGTCAGGCGTCCCTTCTTTTATCTAACTGAATGTAAAATTATTCGTTCGTCATCCAAAGATTACCATTAGCACTTTGTTCCGCTCCTTTCACTTCTTCTTGGGCCTCTTCTTCCTCAGACTCAGCTCCACTATCACTGCTTTCGGCTTTACCATTAACAGTTTTGGCATTTGGAGTAGAAGTCAGAACGTTACCAAGATCTAAAATATGAAATGATCGCTTAATCTCTAGTGCTATAACACACAATCATGCTGTAATTTACAAATAATACTGCCCTTTATAATAACTAATAAAATAATTTTGAAGTAAAAGTTAGAATTTTGACATATATCTGCAAGTATTCTTTTCCTTGATTATACATACATTACATAAAGAAACTCCTTCAGTTTACAACAAAAGTGATAAAGCTATCTTAAAACCTTCCTAAACAAGGCAGAGGGTGAGTTATTTTTAAGTTAATATCAATCAAAATAGAAAAGTTAGAGATGAAGGATCCTCTTTACACACAGTAAATAAAGAGACAGTTGCTATATCCTAGCATACTGAAAACATAAACACAACAATATCATCAATATCATCAACAGAACTACATTTAAAAATTTTTTATCCTTTTCTTACCTTTAAGGCTTTAGGTACACTACCTATATTATTATGTCTTTATATTTATTTTTATTTTAAAGCATCCATTAATGTGATCAATCATTTAAAAAGGCACATTGGGGGCGCCTGGGTGGCGCAGTCGGTTAGGCGTCCGACTTCAGCCAGGTCACGATCTCGCGGTCCGTGAGTTCGAGCCCCGCGTCGGGCTCTGGGCTGATGGCTCAGAGCCTGGAGCCTGTTTCTGATTCTGTGTCTCCCTCAATCTCTGCCCCTCCCCCGTTCATGCTCTGTCTCTCTCTGTCCCAAAAAAATGAATAAACGTTAAAAAAAAAAAAAAAATTTAAAAAGGCACATTGTCCTACTGGCCAGTCATATCTTGAGAGGAAATTCATCAGAATTTTTCAAATGTTAATATGCATAGGAATCACCTTAGATCTAGTTAAAATGCAGATTCTGAATCAGCAAGTCTGGGGTGGCCTAAGATTCTGCATTACCATAAGGCTCCCACATGATGCCAATGCCTTTGGTTACTGTACTTCATTTTGAGAGGGAGGGAATTACATTTCCATCACCCTATAAGATAATAAAGGCCTCCTACGTGGCTACTGGTCAAAAACAGTGGTCTCTCTCCATAAATTTTTGTGCTTCATTTTCACTTACACAAATGCATTTTGTTTTGTTTTTTTAATTTTTTTTTTAACGTTTTTATTTATTTTTGAGACAGGGAGAGACAGAGCATGAACAGGGGAGAGTCAGAGAGAGGGAGACACACAGAATCTGAAACAGGCTCCAGGCTCTGAGCTGTCAGCACAGAGCCCGACGGGGGGGCTTGAACCCATGGACCGCGAGATCCTGACCTGAGCCAAAGCCGGATGCCTAACCGACTGAGCCACCCAGGCGCCCCCACAAATGCATTTTGAATGCTTCTCTGCATCTCAAACAACATATTAAATGTCAAAATCTCCATACATTTTAAACAGGTACAGAAGAGTAAAAACTCAACTCTATCATTGCCATTATGTTCTACTCTCTCTTAGAGAACCATGGCAGCATCACAGTTTATAAATCTTGCTCTCTCCCTGACAACCAAGAAAAAGAATAACAACAACAAAAAACAAGAAACAAAAACACCCACCACTCATGGACATCTTCAACAAAACTAAGCAACAGGAAATCTCCCAAACCCCCATTAAATGGCATTTCTGTGATGAGAGGTGTAGAAAGCACAGAGAATTACTCACTAGCCCTACTCAACATCCAAAATTCAGTTCATGACAATAGTCACATGATTATCACAATAGATGCTGACAAAGCATTTGACATGACAATAATGTTGACAAGATTAAAAATGTAAGAGAATTTCCTCAATCTGATAAAGGGTATCTACAAAAATGTACAACTAAAATAACAATTAATGTTAAACGATTGAATGTTTTTTGCTCCTAAAATAAGGAACAAGAAAGAATGAAGAAAAAAATAAAAAAATAAAAAATAAAATAAGGAACAAGACAAGGATGTCTGCTTTTGCCATCTCTGTTTAATATCGTACTAGAAGTTCTTGCCATGGCAATTAGGCAAGAAACACAAATAAAATGCATCCAAATTGAAAAGGAAGAAGTAAGCACATGACATGCTCTGTATACATGAAATCCTAAGGAATCCACCCAAAAACTATTAGAACTAACAAATGGTTTGGCGAGATTGCAGGATATAAGATCAATAAACAAAATCAAGGGAGTTTCTACAAGCTAACAATGAACAATCCAAAAATGAAATTAGAAAATAATCTATAATAGGGGCGCCTGGGTGGCGCAGTCGGTTAAGCGTCCGACTTCAGCCAGGTCACGATCTCGCGGTCCGTGAGTTCGAGCCCCGCGTCGGGCTCTGGGCTGATGGCTCAGAGCCTGGAGCCTGTTTCCGATTCTGTGCCTCCCTCTCTCTGTGCCCCTCCCCCGTTCATGCTCTGTGTTTCTCTGTCCCAAAAATAAATAAACGTTGAAAAAAAAAAAATTAAAAAAAAAAAAAGAAAATAATCTATAATAGCAGCAAAAAGAATAAAATGCTTCGCAGTACACAAAAGAAAGTCAAAGAATTGTATACTGCAAATGACAAAACACTGTTGAAAGAAATTAAAGAAATAAATGGATTCGAAGACAATATTGCTGAGATGACAAAACTCCTCTAAATGATCTATAATTCATTGCAATTCCTTTAAGAATCTTAGATGGTCCTTTTTGCAAAAATTGACAAGCTGATTCTAAAATTCATATGGAAATGCCAAGGATCCATAATGGTTAAAACAATCTTGAAAAAGAACAAAGTCGGACAGTTCATATTTCCTGATTTCAAAACTATGTATGTATATTATGAAAAAGCCCAAGCAAAACAGATACATCTGTTCTACTGGGCTTAAGTGGCTACTTTTAATATGATTCTTTAAAAAAAATTTTGTTTTCAAGATTGCAAACTATGAAACACCCATATACTTTGATCTCTGCAGTTAGACTTCTAATATTGTATCTGTAAGAAATAATTTCTTACAGATATACTTACACATATATTTAATGACATTTATACAGGGTTACTTTCAGCAGCATTTTTGAAGATCAGAAGAGGAAACTAATAAGTATAATGCAATAAAAATAAAAAACAACATAAAAAAAGGAACCATCTAAATGTCCATTAGAATGGTACAGGTTAAATAAATTATGGTATGGGCCCACATCCCTTACAACTCTTAGGTCCAGATATGATTTAAAATCCAGTTTTCTAATTTTGCAAAGGTCATACACTGTATGTACTATATATTATGTAACACCTTCAACAGAATTTTAAGGCAGCTCCCACTAAAAAAATAATAATAAAGTTTTTACAACAAAACACATGAATAGTCACACTAAATAAAATAAAGACTTAAAACAGCCCCTTGTCATTTCAGAGGTCTGTTCCTCAATTAGTTCATGTCAGGACAGTCTTTCCTCTCAAAGGAATTACAAAAGAATGTTTGGTTTATTAAGTTTTTTGAATTTTTAAATTACAGCCTAGGGATTATGGATCTGAGCCTTTATTATCATTATTCATTCTACCTTGTCTTTATAATTAGTTGTTCAAACATTTGCCTCTAGCCTCATACTACTAAAACAGGTCCAGATTTACTCTCCTCTGAATCCTAACAACATGCTTCACACAGAGAAAATATTTAGTATTTTTTCTGTACTAAATAGTACAAATTATAAGGAAGATTATTTGTTAAAATTTGACTCCTTTAGGTAAATCAGATATAGAGGATGTGGTTATATGAGCGTTATGCTCAGCAAGCAGTCTATCAATTACAATTGCAGATACAAACTGCAGGTCTTATGACAGACAGGAAGATAACTGTTCTGAAATACCTAATTTCCATCAATTAGTGAAAGGTATCTTGTAAATAGGGATGTCAGGAAAATAAAACACAGGTAATTTTCATTTGAAATAATTCTTACAGGCTCATTTCAGTCTGCTTTCTAAAAAAAAAAATTAAAGATCAAATGTTTATAGTTAATAACAGCAAATTTACCTATTATTCAACTCTTCTTACTATGTAAAAGATAAGCGTTTCAATTCTTTCCTGAGAACATGAAATTAGAATTCTCAAAAAAAAAAAAAAAAAAAAAAAAAAAAAAAAAAAAAAAAAAAAAAAAAAAAAAAAAAGACCTAGCTAAGTGAATTCACTGACATCTTGTGTCAGGTTGCTATACTGTAATAAACCATACTATAAACATAGCCACGTTAAAATTAGCTAGAAAATAATTTCAGCCATTGTCACTGTTAATGTAACTCAAAAACCAAATCAGAAAGTATGATCTATCAAAATACAACCATGAATTCTGCTACAATTTTGTATACACTTAGTGAATCATTTGTCATGTTTTAATAACTGCAGGGTTGAAACTTAAGCATTTATAATATTTTTGAACTTTATGCAATATATTTGCTTGGAACGAAAACTTGCGTGACAAGCTTGTAAGTTTTATAAATATGTGCAGAATTCTTTAGGGTGTAAATTTCAAACAAAATTTTTACGTGGATTTCATTATTCCTACCTTCTAAGTATTTAGAGATTTTCTCCAGTCGGACTAGCATGTGAAAGTAAAACAAAAATTAGACATATAAATATTAATGCATGCATAATGTGTCACCTGCTGAACTAAAAACAAGGTAAAACAGTCCAACCTGAGGTTAAGTCAGAACTTTTGCTACTCTTTTTGTCTTCTACAATTTCATAAAATGGGCCTATGACATGTAGCAACTCTTCAACTTTCTCAGTCATCGGCATAGTTTCAAGAATCTGTAATCAAAAGAAACACATGTTGTGAAATCACAATCTATTAGTCTGACCTACTACCAAATAACATAATACTTACAATTTATTTAGTGATAATTTTGTGATTCAGAGTTCATGTATAGATTCCCCAAAGTACCTGTATTAACTACATACTTAATGTGCACATTCTCCTAGAAAAGGTTCAAGAAATCAAAGAATTAAGTATCTTCATTTTTGGGAATGCAAGCTGGTGCAGCCACTCTGGAAAACAGTATGGAAGTTCCTCAAAAAACTAAAAATAGAGCTACCCTACAACCAAGCAATTGCACTACTAGGCATTTATCCAAGGGATACAGGTGTGCTGTTTCGAAGGGGCACACACACCTCAACAGCAGGATCAACAATAGCCAAAGTATGGAAAGAGCCCAAATGTCCACCGAGGGATGAATGGATAAAGAAGACATGGTATATATATGCAATGGAGTATTACTCGGCAATCAAAAAGAATGAAATCTTGCCATTTGCAACTACGTGGATGGAACTGGAGGGTATTATGCTAAGTGAAATTAGTCAGAGAAAGACAAAAATCATATGACTTCACTCATATGAGGACTTTAAGAGACAAAACAGATGAACATAAGGGAAGGGAAACAAAAATAATATAAAAACAGGGAGGGGGACAAAACAGAAGAGAGTCATAAATATGGAGAAGAGACTGAGGGTTACAGGAGGGGTTGTGGGAGGGGGGATGGGCTAAATGGGTAAGGGGCACTAAGGAATCTACTCCTGAAATCATTGTTGCACTATATGCTAACTAATTTGGATGTAAATTTAAAAAAATAAAAAATAAAACAAGTTAAAAAAAAAGTCTCTTCATTTTGAAGACTATTTTACATAAGCTTCTTTTAAAATTTTACACAATGATCTATAAATTGTGCATTAAACTAAGGGCACTTAGAAAACTGTAGGGTTAAATTTAAATTATTGTATCTGTTCTTTAACACTAGTGTTTTTTTATTCTATTTTTATTTAAAAAAATTTTTTTAAGCTTATTTTTGAGATAGACAGTATGAGTGTGGGAAGGGCAGAGAGAGGGAGACACAAAATCCCAGGCAGGCTCTGCACCACCAGCAGAAAGCCTGATGTGGGGCTCGAACACACGAAACGGTGAGATCATGACTGGAGCCGAAACCAGGAGTCTGATGCCTAACTGACTGAGTCACCCAGGTGCCCCTCTTTTTTTTATTTTTTGAGAGAAAGAGCGTGCACCAGCCTGCACACACAAGCAGGGTAGGGGCAGGGCAAGAGTGAGAGTGAGAATCTTAAGCATGTTCCATGCTCAGCATGGAGCCCAATACGGTGCTCAAACTCCCAAGCTTAATGAACTAAGCCACCCTGGTACCCTTCACTAAGGTAGTGTCTCTGAAAGAGGAGAAATGTAGAGTAGGAACTAGTAATCACTTTGATACCTTCATACCTACAGGCCAATTTAGAATCATCAGATTTGAAGAACAAGGTAAATTAACTGAAAAGGCATTCAAATAAATAGCCACCAACTGGTAATTGATAAAAGAAAATATTTCCATATATGAAATGTTGGCAGATACTTAAAAAGAATAAGGTTAGCTTTGTGTGTACTGATTGGGAAAAACATCTGAATTTTTTTATAGGCCAAAAGGTAGTTGGTGAACAGTATATTTAATATGATGCCATGATTGTTTTTTTTTTCTTTTTAAACAATAGGATACATATACATATAACACAGACATATCTGTATATACATATATGTGTTTTCTGAATTCTACAAAATAGAATTAAAAGTAATTACCCCTTAAAGAGTTAAAATGGAGGGAATGGGAAAGATTCACTTCATTTCATACTTCTTTGATGTTTCGATTTTTTTTCCTTTACACATAATACTTTTATTGTTTTTTCTTCTATTACTTTTATTATTAAGGTTAACAAATTTATTAAGCAACCAAAATCTTGTGTCATTTTTGCATACTTTTCAGCTTATGTACAGTTTTAAAGTCGCCACTTGATCTTTGAAACCAATAACCACCTCAGACTTGTCAGTCCCTCTCCCTGCTTTATTGTTTGTTTATCATGTATCTTTCACAACACAATGTAAGCTCAATGAAAAAGGGCCTTTATTTGTTTTTGGTCACTCCTGTATTTCCAGTGTCTAGCACAGACAAGGAATTTAATAAACAAGGTTGGGGTGTGTTGGGAGATTATACAGAATGAACTATGCTTAGTGATTATAATGTAATTTTAGCGCTCATAGTAAATTATCTAATTGCTGTTCCTTTCGATGGATAAGAGTGAAAAAACTGGCTTTAACCATAATTTTTTTTTTTTTTTGTAAAAGGAAATGCTTGTTACTGTAAGGCTGGGGTCATTCGGGAGGGCATTTTTATAGCTTATTATAGATAAATGATCTATAATATGTATGCATTATAACAATAATCATGAGAATTAGATTCAACCCAGAAGTTGAAACCACCAGGTAATGTTTACTTTTTTTGGTAATGTTTACTTTGACATGACCAAAGTCACAGAAAGTAAATGGTAGAGATAAAATTTTAACACAAGTCAGTACCCTTTACACGACTCTATACTGGAACAGTGTATGTATGTAGAGTCAACAGAATCTGGTAAGCCAACCAGATATTCCATCTTGACCTCCCCCCACATAATACCTCCTCTGATATTCTTTCAAACAAGATCTTTTTTAGTTATCTCCTGATTTAAGATTACTTTAAAAAGTCTTTTTCTCAGGGGTCTCTGGGCGGCTCAGTTGGTTAAACTTCTGACTTGATTTCAGCTCAGGTCATGATCCCAGAGTCATGAAATCGAGCCCTGTGTCAGGCTCCGTGCTAACACACGGGAGCCTGCTTGAGATTTTCTCTCTTCCTCTCTCTCTGTTCCTCCCCACTTGTGCTCTCTCTCTCACAAGAAAATAAAATAAAGTTAAAAAAAAAAAAAGTCTCTTTCTCAAATTTGTCCTTAAGTAGGGCTACTCAAATCTGTGTTTTGGTTTCTCATACTCTATAGGTAACAGAGTGAATTAAGGACTTCAAATGTCAGAACTAAATAAATGCAGAATGTGCCAGTGCTAAGCAAACATAAGCAGAGTGATTTTTCTTTCAATTAGCTAGCATTTTAGTAGTAAATACAGTTAGGACACAAGTGGCCATAGCAACATACACCCAGAATTTAAGAGGTTACTCTCTGAAGAAGAAACTTTAAAAATACAAAACTCAAGAAGAATGATCTTAGTCATCTGCAAAATTCTCTCCCTCATCCCAGTGCTGGAATTAAAGAAATGGCTCAGACATACAAATAAACGCATGAGATCCTGGCAGAGACAGAGACACAGAAAGACAAGCAGACACAGGCAAATCTCAGTCTAAGTAACTACTCCTTAAACTCAGAGAAGATTTTATTTACAGTGTAAGTGAATTAAGTTCAGTTGGATTGTAATCTATCCGAATGAAGAATATTTGGTGAGCTGGATGGACTGCAGACAAGCAGCATCCAGCTCTGAATCCTCTGCCACCCCCCCTCTCTGCCCCTACCCCACTTACGCACACATGCACGTAGCGCGCTCTCTCTCAAATAAATGTTAAAAAAAAAGAAAGAAAGAAAAGCAACATCTAAATACAATAATTTTTCTAGGTTTCTCTAGCACTTTCCTTGGTAAGAAACATTATTTCTTTCTTTTTTTTTT